TGGATACTATCCTTCCTGCGAAAGGCTCACGGGCGTCGATTTGTATTCTTTTATGAGGGCCCTGCCCCACCCCCAATGTTGAGTTGGGTCCCCCTCCCCCATGTGGACTTGGCCCCCCGCTTGCCCCCATGTTTTTGGTTGGAATACCACAAAGAACGTGGGTAAAAGATGGTCATAACACAAAGACTGTCTTCTTTGATGTTTTTTTTGCGCGGTGGCGTCTCGTACCACTCTCATAACAAAATCGTGGCTGCTCGCACCACGAGATACAAATTGTAACAGGTGAGCGGACAAATGGTGCAATAAACTTCACGTACTTAGCGCCATAAGACACACAGTGGTTTGTGAAGTTAAAGTGAAGAGCTCTGAATATGGGGATGACCTAGGTCCTTGATGGCTAACCCCGTCCCCGTCCCCCACAACCAAAATACGTGCCGCATCCCGTGGGCGCCATAGAGGAGCGCCACCGGCACGCTAAGGTGGCCTCTAAAGGGGCGCCTTCACGTGCCAGAGACGTGTGCGTCCAGTGCCTTCTGCTTGGGTTTAACCCTGCATGACTTCTTTACTACGTAAATTGATTTTTGTTAATAAATTATAGAACACGTAATTTATAGAAGAAAATTCTTGCGTTTAATCAAAATAAAGTGAGCTAAATCCGGTGAGAAAAATGGGGAAGGAGGTAGGTTGTCGGGCCCTCGGTTCGGCCCCCCAATCATTTACAAACATTGGCACTCCTGGAGACTGAAATGAATTCGGAAAATTCTGTCCGTTCTAATGGGCTTGAACGAAATGCCGAGCTTCATACTGCTGAGGCTTTCTACTTAAAAACGAGGGGCGTGTACAAAAAACTCCAATTACTGGCACGTCAGGCAGTCGCAAGTGGACGACGAAAAGCGACCTTATTTTGAAGAGAGCAACAATTTCGCCCACACGCGCCGCATTCCCCCCTGCGCCTTAATGACGCGGCTGAGCGCCAAAGTTGAGTTAAAAAAACACACACAGCGGACGTCGACTTAAAGCCTTACACCAACACGCAATGCAGAGATCTCTTGGCCCTAGCAAGCTGTTGCAGTTGCGTTTAGGACTGGCAACAATCGCAGCTGCTCGCTCCTCCAGGACCAAGATGGTCACCAAGAATGAAATGACGTTCCTGTTGTTTTCAATTATAAAGGATGGAGATTTCTCCACGCCGGAGGTATCCATCGATAAATTATCATGGCAGGTTGGCTTCTCTGGACCAGAGAGCGCACACCAGATGAATGGCCTCGCCGCCAAGGACATTGCACCCGGGGCCTACTCTCCTTTTCCAAATGAGTGCCCAGTCCGCACCCTTAGTACGCTCCAGGGAAATACAAGTGTTGCAACAGAAACTCCTAGAAGGCTAATCACCAGCAGTTTTATGCTGCGCTCCCTCCGACGCAAGCTGTGTGCATGATGTGATTCTCGCAATATGCAAAGGTATTTCTGCGCTGTGAACCAGCACTGTGCGCTGTGTGCGCTGTCCGAGCTGCTTCGTGGGAAAAATATGTGACACTGGTGGTCCCTGGCCACCAGACGGTCTGACGTGTTCGTCTTTTGGTGTGGTCCACGCCCTGATGTGAGTCATGTAGGCGGCCCAGCGCGTCTGGACGGGCAGCTTCCGGATAACACAAACGCCACAGGTCGTCACAAGCAGCCGAGGGCAGCACAGCTCACTGTATGTCAGTCAGGGTCAAACGAATCACACACGCACGCACACACACACACACACGCGCGCGCGCGCGCGCGCGCGCACGCACGCACATCACACCGTGTGTGTGTGTGTGTGTGTGTGTGCGCGCGTATGTGTGACTGGTCGCCCGGCCGACACATATGCCAGACTTTGTTCTGTGACTGTTTTGCTCTAGCAATATTACAATTAGGAAATAATTTAGCAAGCCCAGATCCATCAATGCTTCATGGAATTTCCATGATGTAATGAGTAAACATATGTGGCAACATAAACGGTTGGACATAAACGTGCTCACTGAGAGCCCGAAGTTTTCTCTTTTCTCACTCACTCTCAAGCTCACGGGTTTCCTGAAAATGCGAGACAGGAAGCCAGCTGTGGCGCGGCCAGCGGCACCCACCGACGATTGTCTGCACTGCACTTGGCAAAAACAGATGGAGTGCCACCACAGCGGCACAAGTGGTGGAAACTACACCCGGTTCGGACAGCTATAAAAAACAACAAACATGGTCTGACAAATCCTCGTGCGGGAACTTTTCTGTCTGCCAACACATCCCCCAGACGGCCGCTGTCCCGAATGGCCACCTCTGTCTGCCAACACATCCCCCGGACGGCCGCTGTCTCGAATGGCCACCTCTGTCTGCCAACACATCCCCCGGACGGCCGCTGTCTCGAATGGCTAGTTGTCTGCCAACACATCCCCCGGACGGCCGCTGTCTCGAATGGCCACCTCTGTCTGCCAACACATCCCCTGGACGGCCGCTGTCTCGAATGGCCACCTCTGTCTGCCAACACATCCCCCGGACGGCCGCTGTCTCGAATGGCCACCTCTGTCTGCCAACACATCCCCCGGACGGCCGCTGTCTCGAATGGCCACCTCTGTCTGCCAACACATCCCCCAGACGGCCGCTGTCCCGAATGGCCACCTCTGTCTGCCAACACATCCCCCGGACGGCCGCTGTCTCGAATGGCCACCTCTGTCTGCCAACACATCCCCCGGACGGCCGCTGTCTCGAATGGCCACCTCTGTCTGCCAACACATCCCCCGGACGGCCGCTGTCTCCAATGGCCACCTCTGTCTGCCAACACATCCCCGGACGGCCGCTGTCTCGAATGGCCACCTCTGTCTGCCAACACATCCCCCGGGCGGCCGCTGTCTCCAATGGCCACCTCTGTCTGCCAACACATCCCCGGACGGCCGCTGTCTCGAATGGCCACAGGCTGCCTCGGTCCGCTGACCGCTGTATCAGTGATCAGTGTCAAATGCACGCACTGATCGAGGAACGACGGGCTGTATTACAAAACATCGACGGCAGAGTAGATATTAGCATACTTCCTATTGTTCGGACACGGTACACTCTGTACAGTTAGCTCCTAAGACAGCGCGCACTATAGCAATGACCAGCTCATCCAGCGACGACATCGAGATGCATCGAGAGTCGACCCATGACGCGGACTAAAGGTAGTGCTCCCGTACAAAAATTGAGCAAATTAGATCAATGTATATTTGTTAGTTAAGGGCTGTTATCACTCACTGATGTTATTGCATATATCGTCAACACGGGGGGAGAGCGGTAACAGAAGATCGTCGGGGGGGGGGGGGTGACGTCAGTCTACCACTGACGTGCGGAAACTATCGGGGAGGACCTCAGTTTCTCAGCACAGCTGCTTCAGAATAAGCATGGCGAGTATAACACACGAGGAGGACAGCCCGTCAACGCCGCACGCAAACACAACCCACTCAGCGCCCGCCAGCGCGGTCCGCTGCCAAACACGCCATCGCAGCAGCGTCCTGCGGCGCCACCCGGCGGGGCGCTACCTCCGGCGGCGGGCGGCGACGCGGCGCGGCGCCACCTCCAGCTCCCAGACGCCCAGCCACATCCGCACCAGCTGGCAGCCGAGGCAGCCCGGCCGGCAGGCCTGCACCGTCTCCGAGGGCCGGGCGGCCGGCGCCACTGGCGTCGCTGTCGCCGGCAGCGAGCGGGCGCGACAGCGGGCGGTGGCCGCCGGTGGGCCGCGCACCCCCGCACTGTGGCGGCGTCCTGACAGCCCTGCCCACTGGCGGAGCACCAGCGGGTCGGCCACCCCTGCACTCAGCCGGCGGGAAGATGCCTCCGTCGGCAGCATGTAGCCGGGCGTGCCGTCCGGCCTCCCCCGCCGCCGGCCCGATGGACTCGCCCCGGCGGCGGCCATGGCGTCCGTTCGCCGCAGCAGCTGCTCCAGGCTCGCCGTCGGCCAACACGCTGTACGCCGCAACCGCGCCAGCAGCTGTCGTAAATCCGCAACGTGCGCTACTTTTGTCGCGCAGACTGCCGTGGCGCGTCGGCGGCGGTGGCGGCGCGCGACGCTTCGAACACCTTCTTCCTGGACGCGACCATTCCGGAGAGAGGGGAGGACAGACGACCGCCCTCCCCTCCCGCCGCTAAAAAAGTGGACATGCCAGAGAGACGTGGGCAGCTGGGCGACCTCATCAGCTCTGCAACAAGAACGCAAAAACCTCTGTCTGACCACGCACAAGTCACCGCGGCACCACGGGCAGCACCAAGCCGCATACAATACCGGCAACAGCACAGCGACGGATTTCCTCAAGGCAGGGCCAGCAAGGGTGACGTTCATGGTAAATCATCGCGCGATATATTTCAGTGCAAGACTGCTTCGCCCAGAGAGAGCCAAAGTGGAGCTACAAACGCGATCACAGAGCACAGACACTCCAGTCACGAGCAGACGGGTCCCCGCGATCACAGAGCACAGACACTCCAGTCACGAGCAGACGGGTCCCCGCGACCACAGAGCACAGACACTCCAGTCACGAGCAGACGGGTCCCGCGATCACACAGCACAGACACTCCAGTCACGAGCAGACGGGTCCCCGCAATCACAGAGCAGACACTCCAGTCACGAGCAGACGGCATCCCTAGGATGTCGTCATCGACGAGTCCGCCGCGAGCAGCGCGCGGCGCCGGCCGAGGGGGTGGAGGCGTCAGCGGCCGCACAGCCCTGACCTTTGATCCTGGCCGAGGTCAGGCTGGCGCCTCGCCGCAACCGCGGCCGCTCCTCGGCATCCGACGAGCCGCCGCTGCCGGCTGGCGCCTGCTGCGACCCTGGCGCACAGGTCAACGCAGGTCAGCACAGATCAGCCGACATCAGGGCAGGTCAGCACAGATCAGCCGACATAAGGACAGGTCGGCACCTGCCACTATGTTGGTAAGGGTCGTCACCGCAGGTCACCACAGATAAGCCGGAGTCCACAAAGGTCTAACGAGGTGAGCGTGTTACCGAAGGTCACCACGGATCATCCTAGGCAGCACAGGTCGGTTCCGGTCCGCGCAGGTCCACTTAGGTCGGTGCAGGTCAACACGTGGCAGCATATCTCACGAAAGGTCATGGCAGGTCAGTCGGCGTTAGCGCGGGCCTGACCATATCACTTTGGTCACCAGGGCCAATCCAGTCATCAGAGGCCAGCACATGTCACCATAATCAGGTGAAATTGAGGCAACCATCCAAAGGTCAAGGTCAGTAAAAGCCAGCGAAAATCAGCGCAAGCACCTGCAAGCTACAGAGGCGCACAACGCGACAGATTCCCTTAAGGAAACACACGCCAGTGAACGTGCCTAAACATGCACAAAGGCCAATCAGCACCGGATAAAACCAAACTGGGTCATACCAAGGTCATGCGGGTACAAACAAGCCCGACAACGGCTGAATTCGACAGTGTTCAGGACAAAGGGCGACGGTATGTCCACTGCTGAAGCGATGCACAACATCCAGCACTAGGACAACCCGGTCTGGGCGCGTGCTTCTCAGACGCTCCATCTCAACAGACTGTGACGCCCCATCCCAGCAGACTGACGCTCCATCCCAGCAGACTGACGCTCCATCCCAGCAGACTGACGCTCCATCCCAGCAGACTGACGCTCCATCCCAACAGACTGTGACGCCCCATCCCAGCAGACTGACGCTCCATCTCTTCACCTCTCGCGTATCCCGACGACAATCCAACGTGTAGCAACACTGCTGGAGCTCCCCATGCAGCCGGCTCGACAAACGGACACGACGATGGCTCAGCCCGCCTACGCGCACAACCACACGGCATGCACCAGAAACAACGGCATCCGATCCAAGGCAACGGCGGATGCACCTTCTTCCACAGGACACTGCACGACCTACCCAACGCATGCGCTTCGACAATGGGCTCGAGCTGCCTTGCCCGACTCTCGCCAGCGGGAGCCACACGGACCGACGGCGGCCGGCCGGTGAGCTGCATTCGTAGCACGCGGCCACCGCCCCGGCGTCGCGCTGTCGGCTCGGGTAGCATGCTCCTCCTGCCGTCGCCACACCAGCCCCATGCCCCACCCGTCCTAGCCCGCCCATTGCACCATCCTAGCCCTCTCCCGCACGCCACGGCGTTTGCAACGCGCCTCCCAACCCTTCTCCCCACCACCACCGGTGCCCTTCCCCTTCCCCACCGTCCCCTCCGCAGACACCGAGGCCCTCCCGCCCCCAGCTCCTCTCCCCGCGCCCCGCGCACCGCCCAGCGGCCGCGGCGCCTGTACCGTACCTTCGCACTTGGAGGCGGTCAGGATAATGTGCTCGAGGCGGTCGCGCAGTGAGCTGACTTCGTCGGCGCGCAGCTGGCGCTCAGCGCGCAGGTACGTGGACAGCTGGCGGCAGAGCGCCGACAGCTCGGCCTCGCGCTGCCGGCAGCAGGCCAGCGCTCGTCAGGCGGTCGGTCGGCCGTCACAGCGCACGTCGCTGGTTAGAGCGGGTGGCGGCCGCGTCACCGCGCGTCCGATGGCGTCACAGTGACGTCGGCCCACGGGCCGCCGGACGCGCGGTGACGTCAGCGCGGGTGTCGTTATTGCACGTCACGTCTGTCGCGTCGGCGCGCTCAGTGACGTCACACGTCACGTGCGGCGTCACCACAAGCGCGCTGACGTCAGCGAATGCTACCGCCGAAAGTATAATTCGGCGGCTTTGTCAGCTGTTTTTTGTTTTTGTTTTTGGTGAAGTCACGGTCTCCGGCAGGAAACTAGTGAGCGAAACCCGCGCCTGCCGCCAGCATGGCTCCCGCAGCAAGCGATCAGCAGAGCGCGTTCTGTTTCTCCCCCAGTCAGAACCCGCGGAGAAGCTCGTCGACAGAACGTAACTGGCCTGAAGCTCAGACGGAGCGTAACCGGCCAGAAGCTCAGACAGAACGTAACCGGCCAGAAGCTCAGACAGCACGTAACCGGCCTGAAGCGTGACAGAACGAGGGCCCCCCCGTCCGTGGCCGTGATCGCTGGCCGTCTGCAGCCACTGTCAGCAGACGCCGCCGGCGCGAGCCAATAGCGTCCCAGCTCGTCGTCTCGCCGCCGAGGGCGTCACTCAGACAGCGTTCCCCCGAGGGCGGGGCGGTGCGAGGCGGTGGGCCGGCATGACACGTGACGGCTGCCAGGGGAGCCCTCACCAGGCTGCACAGACGGCACGTAGGGGGAGGGGGAACGCTGTCACACAAGCACAGTCCAAGCAGCGCAGCCGCCTGGCGACAGGCGCCAAGCGCACAAGCGGCGTCGCCTAGCAGCGGGGACTCGAGCTCGGCGTCGGCAGCAATTCAAGCCAGCCTCGGCGGAGGCGTGTGAGGAAGATCTCCAACTTCGGCCGCCTAGCGGCGCCGTGACATAGCCTACAACGGCACCGACGGCACCGACGCGGCACAATGTGCTGCCGCCTCGTGGCCGTGCGTGCTATTGGTCTCGGCAAGTCAGCATTGTCAGAAAGCGGCGCCGACCCTGGTCACAGCAAGCAGTCGCGGGAAGCCGACTCACCTCGCGCCGAGACAGCCGCCTCACTTACCGTCGGCTTTCTTCTCACGCCGGTGCTTCCACTCCAGATCTGGCCGGTGCCCCTGCCCCACCTGACCAGATCCGGCCGGTGCCCCTGCCCCATCTGACCAGATCTGGCCGGTGCCCCTGCCCCATCTGACCAGATCCGGCCGGTGCCCCTGCCCCATCTGACCAGATCTGGCCGGTGCCCCTGCCCCATCTGATCAGATCTGGCCAGTACGTTGTGTTTCCCGATCCCTCAGACGAGGGGCCACCGCCTTGATCCAAACCGCCTGTTGTGTGGCCTTGCATGTAATTGCTTGCACAATATCCCCATCCGGGAAGCTGCGACAATTGCCGCACCATTACTTCTCCATTCGGCCCCCTTTCTGTGTGGTCTTCAGCGCATTTTGTGGTTACACAGACTCACACAGCTAAGCGGAGTCCAAACACAGCCCACTCTGCCGTCAGCGTACATACTTGCGTGCGTCAGCTTGGGTCAATCCAGCACTTCCGGACGGTTACCGCCCATTACACTGTAATTTCTGCTGTGGTCTAGCCTCTCCCTCCGCCTCAAACAGCGGTATAAGCCCCCACAAGCCCCCCACCCGCCTTCTCGCGCACCCAGCATCCACGTCATGCCAATGAATCCTACCTTCTGCCGCGCTCGTCCCCTCGTACCCGTACCCGTACCCGTACCTGAGAACCCGCACCATTTCACCGCGGTCTCTCACCGCCGCGCGGTGCACCCCACCCTCTCCACTCCTCCCCCTAGTGTGCCCTACCTCTAGCGAGCCGCTCCTCCGCTGCGCAGCCTTACCTTCTGCGTCGTCTCCAGCTCCTGGTGCAGACTCTGCGCAGTCCTACCTTCTGCGTCGTCTCCAGCTTCTGATGCAGACGCTGCGCATTCCTACCTTCTGCGTCGTCTCCAGCTCCTGGTGCAGACGCTGCGCCTCTTCGCGCGAGTGCGCCAACTGGTTCTCGGCCAGCGCCAGCTGCTGGCCGGCCGAGTGTTGGTCGCCGTCGGCAAGCTCCGAAATGTTGGCCGACAGCTGCGCCCGCAGCTGCTTGTTCCTGGGGATGGAGGTGTGTGGCTCGTGTAGTAGGACAGTTGCCACCTGCGAGGTAAAACGTGTAGCAGAACGGCGTGATATGCAACAGAACGTGTCGCCACACAGCGCGCCGTGGGGGCGATGCGGGAAACTCCTGTACCGTCATACCTGACTGATAAACGGCGCCACTTTGCCGGACGGAGGCTCAAACCGCCGCACGCCACGCCGCCCACACGACCACGATCACCGCCACACTCCACTCCATTCCACTCCACACTCCACACTCGGCGCTCTGGTCACCAGCTTCCGCGCCTGCCCCAGCAGCGGCGGCCGCCGTCAGAGGCGAGGCCAAGCCGCGCACCAGCGTCAGCGGCGGCCGTCGAGCTGGCCGCCACTCACCTGGCGTCCAGCTGGAAGACGCGCTGGTTGGCTTGCTGCAGGCTGCGGTGCTGCGCGTCCACCTTCTCCTCCAGCGATGCCGTCTCAAGGCACTTGATGCTGTACTTCTCACTCAGGCTGAGAATCTCGCCCTTGATATCGCCCATCTCGGCTCTGCGCGAGCACGAGCAGGCGGTGAGCGTCCGGGTTCGCGAGGGCGACATGAGCACGGGCAGGCGGTGAGCGTCCGGGTCCGCGAGGGCGACATGGGCACGGGCAGGCGGTGAGCGTCCGGATCCGCGAGGGCGACATGAGCACGGGCAGGCGGTGAGCGTCCGGATCCGCGAGGGCGACATGAGCACGGGCAGGCGGTGAGCGTCCGAGTCCGCGAGGGCGACATGGGCACGGGCAGGCGGTGAGCGTCCGGGTCCGCGAGGGCGACATGAGCACGGGCAGGCGGTGAGCGTCCGAGTCCGCGAGGGCGACATGAGCACGGGCAGGCGGTGAGCGTCCGAGTCCGCGAGGGCGACATGAGCACGGGCAGGCGGTGAGCGTCCGAGTCCGCGAGGGCGACATGAGCACGGGCAGGCGGTGAGCGTCCGAGTCCGCGAGGGCGACATGAGCACGGGCAGGCGGTGAGCGTCCGAGTCCGCGAGGGCGACATGGGCACGGGCAGGCGGTGAGCGTCCGAGTCCGCGAGGGCGACATGGGCACGGGCAGGCGGTAAGCGTCGGGGTCCGCGAGGACGACATCAAGGCACGAGCAGAGCCATCCGTCAGCACCGGCGTCGTCATCACTGCCAGTGTACGTCAAGACTAGAAGGCACCACATCCTCCTCCTCGCATCAGTCACCAAGTGACCAGACAGTGACAGCGTGGTGACAGTGACAGTGACGTTGACAACGGAGACCGGCTGAGCTCTATAGCGGCCCTTCACCCCTTCCGCACGCTCCGCGGCTCCCCGGCGCACTCACACGTGCTCCTTCTGCAGCTTGCCGATGTCGAAGCCGGGCTGCATCTTCTTGATGAACTCGTCCTTGAACTTGCAGATCTCTCGCTGCACCTCCGTCTCGTGGGCCTTGCGAAGGGCGTCCAGGGCGGCCAGCGTAGCCTGCGACGTCCAACAGGGGTCAATCAAGGGTGTATGCGGGATCAGAGCAGGGACAAGAGCCGTCCTCAGATTTCAGTGTGCTGCGCGGTTAGCCAGGAGCAGGTTCAGAGAGCAGCGTCGGCCTTTGAAACCAGGGGGGGGGGGGGGGGGGGGGGCGCCATTTTCATCCGTGGGGGAAGGGGGGAAGATCAGGGGAAGATCACTGTTGACTGTGGGTCGTCGGGGGGGGGGGGGATATCAATGTTGACTGGGACGTCAGGGTTTATGCGTTGCAGTCTGCTGCTCTGTCGTGTCACCAGCCGTTCGTGTGGCTCGAGGGGGTCAGGTCAGGTCAGGTCAGGTCAGGTCAGGTCAGGTCAGGGCGGTCAGGTCAGCAGAATCAGTCTGATAATGCTGAAGATGACCACTATTGCCTGCCCAGCCAGCCACGAGTGCATTCCGATGCCTCTGACGACAATGTGAGGCCCATCACTCCATCAGGACTTCCGGCACATCCGATGTTCTAACACGAACGCTACTTCGCGCTCCTGCATCCGGCGGCCTACTCGGCCGACCGCACCACCCCTCCCCTACTCCTCGGGCGCCACTCACCTGGGTCTCCTCGGCCAGCGCCTGCTGCTTCTCCGCCTCCAGCGAGTGCAGCTCGCGGCGGTGTTTCTCCTCCAGTTCGGCGATGATGCGCCGGTGCGAGTTCTCCATGGCCACCAGGCCCTTCTCACACAGCGCCTGGCAACAGGGGGGCGCGCCTCAGCCCGAGCGCCGGCTGGCCATCACAACAGCCGGTGTGGCGGCGTGCACGCCCGATGGCCACTGCTGTGCTGGCAGAACAGGCAAACGTGCACGGAGGCCGGCTACCAAGCCCTACCGTCTGAAGCAATTATGTTGACCTGTTTGTTTCTGTCGATGCGTTGAGGCGCTACACAGTACAAGTGTCCTTGGAGCATTCTTTAGGGGACAGTGACTGAGACAATGGCGTGCACTGTTTAGGGGACAGCGCCTGAGACAATGGCGTGCGCTGTTTGGGGGACGGCGCCTGAGACAATGGCGTGCACTGTTTGGAGGACAGCGCCTGAGACAATGGCGTGCACTGCTTGGAGGACAGCGCCTGAGACAATGGCGTGCACTGTTTAGGGGACAGCACCTGACACAATGGCGTGACTGTTTAGGGGACAGCGCCTGAGACAATGGCGTGCCAATGGATTCCATGCTGAGCGCGGCAAGTCGCAGAACTGTGAGCTCAAATCCAACCCGGCAAAATAATTCCCAATGGAACAGCCTTCCGAAACCAACGGACTGAATACATCTACCCCACATAAGCAGGCTCACTCGAACGAAGCGGCGGCAGACTTGGCCGGCGGCGGCCGCGCGCCCGCCACTCACCCTCAGCTGCTCGATCTCGGCCTGGTAGCGGCGTCGGATGCTCTCCTCGGCCAGCGCGTCCTCCTCGGGCCGGCCGGTAGTCTCGCCCGCCGACGTCTCGTACTGGTCGCGCAGAGCTGAGATCTGTGCCTCGTACTCGGCCTCGAGACTCTCGAGGCGGCGGCGCAGCAGGCGCACCTCGCTGGCCAGCGCCTCCTTCTCGCGCTCGTACGTGGACGTCTGTCGGCGGCGGCACCACCCAGCCGGTGAAGCGCGCTCAGTCGGCCGCCGCGGCAGCACCGCCCGTCCGTGCAGACCGACGGCCACCGACCGGGAAATAACCGCACGCCAAAACAATAGTCGGGTCGCCATTTTTCGATTTTTAGATTTTCGATTCGGTCTAAACGTTTGTTTCGCGATTCCGAAATCTTCCCGATTTCTCACGACAGCTTACGCCTGACGGACGCATTGGCCTGGGACGGCGTCACGCGGCGCTCCACCCATGAACATTGGCCTGGGAAGGCGACACGCGGCGCTCCACCCATGAACATTGGCCTGGGAAGGCGACACGCGGCGCTCCACAAATGAACATTGGCCTGGGAGGGCGACACGCGGCGCTCCACCCATGAACATTGGCCTGGGAAGGCGACACGCGGCGCTCCACAAATGAACATTGGCCTGGGAAGGCGACACGCGGCGCTCCACCCATGAACATTGGCCTGGGAAGGCGACACGCGGCGCTCCACAACTGAACATTGGCCTGGGAAGGCGACACGCGGCGCTCCACAAATGAACATTGGCCTGGGAAGGCGACACGCGGCGCTCCACCCATGAACATTGGCCTGGGAAGGCGACACGCGGCGCTCCACCCATGAGCACCCAGACACGGTCAGCTGCTGCCCGATTCACGTGCGCAACAAACCACACCGTCGCACAGCCGAGCCAGCGCCAGCACAGCCCGCCGGCGGCCGGCCAACGCTCAGTGTCGTCACGTACCACTTTGTTAACCTCTGACGTCATCTCACGGCGCAGCTGCTCCAGCTCCGCGTCCTGCACCTTCCTCAGAGCCTTCAGCTCCGACGTATGTTCCGTGGACAGGCTGCACAGACGAGGGGGAGGGGGGGGGGGGAGGGGTCAGGCACCTGATCACGACAGGGCGGAGCTGCTGGCGCCGGCCGTCCGCGCGTGGTGACGTCACGCAACCACAGCTACTATCGTGGTGACGTCACACAGCTACCGCGACGCGCGGCGTGGTTGGTCGGTGCCACAGTTAGGAAACGACACTACAAATACCGCCGTCTGTCGTCAGCGTTCACAGCAGTACGCGTGATGAGTCGTACCGCAAAAGTCACAGACAACCGCACACCACGCAGCGATGTGACGGCCTGGAGGTGACACACGACCCTCCCGCCAGCTAACGCCTTTCATCCCCAGCTTCCGCCAAGTTCCCCGCCCCCAGTGACGTCCATCAGACTGCGCGATGCCGGCAAGCCCGCCCCTCTCGACCTTCCCCATCGGCAAGGCCCCTGCCCATCCCCACCTGCCCTCTCCCCCCTCCACAGACTGCCGTCGTTTGGACGCGCAGCCCAGCGACGAACCAAGGCGGCCTCACAAAGCCCCAAGTAATGCTCCGCTGCGCACCCCCGGCAGCACCATCGTCCCCTGCGGCACCAGCCACACCGCCCACAGCACCACCGTCACCACCAGACCCGTCACGGTCAGCACGCACGTGTCGATCCTGGTGCGCAGCTCCCCGCAGCGGTGGCAGGGCTCGGGGGCGGACCCGTCGGGCGCGGCGGCCGCCTGACACTTGGGTGACACCGGCTCCTGACGCTTGAGTGACACCAGCTCCTGACACACCACGCCCAGAGAGGCCGTCTGCGGCGGCACCGGCATCGGTCAGAGTTGCCGGCCAGCGGCGCTCGCGGCCGCGCGCTCCCGGTCGGCGCGAGCATCCCGCGCTCACGCGCTCCGCAAGCGCCCAGGGTCTCCGCATCAGTCCGCGACGCAACAGCTTTCAAGCCTTCCGCCAGTACACTGCGGCTGCATGCAAACATCTCGGCGCGCCACGAACCAATTTGCAGTATTCTCGGTGCTGTTCACCCACAATTACTAATAAGGCCTGGCATCAAACACGACGGCTCGTGCGCGCTCCTCCGCCACCAAACGGAGCCGCCTGCCCTCACCTGGATGTCACCGCTGTTGACCATGCCCGTGATGTCGGAGACGCGGCGGCGCGCCTTGTCCACGCTGCGGGGCCGCACGCGCACCCGTCGCAAGCTCTCCACCTCCCGCTCCAGCGTCCGTATCTGGCAGTCGGCCATCTCTGGTGAGCTCGACCGGCCGGTGACATCCCGAGCGCATCTCTAACGCCGGCGCCTGGCGGCGCTCGCCAACTACGACGTCGCGCTGATTTCTCTGAGTCTCCGGTAAGTCGCAGGCATTTGTGACGTCCCTGAATTGACTTCCGGTTTTCCATGAGCGGCTGCAGATCCAAATAAAAAACAACCAGACAACAACACCAACTGCCTGTCCGAGTCCATAGCCACTGAGGAGCGGGGCGAGCCGCTCGACACACATAAGTCTACTATCACCGCCCGTCCCGCAGACGTCAACACGCGCCCGGGCTCCACCAACCACGCAACGGCACTCGACACAACCTCTCATTCCCCGTGCGTCGCCAGGCGGCAGCCCTCACCTGCTCGCGGTGCTGGGCGCGCTCCTGCTGCAGCTGAGCCTCGCAGTCGGCGCGCACGGCCGCCACAGTCTGCTGCGTGCGCCGGCAAAACTCGTCCAGACTCTGGCCGGTCGGCATGGCGACGCCATAGTCGGAGAGCTCGGTGCGACACCGCTCCACCGCCGCCGCGTACAGGTGCTGTCAACACAGCCGGATCATGGTACAGGTGCTGACAACACAGCCGGATCATGGTACAGGTGCTGACAACACAGCCGGATCACTGTGCAGGCGACCAAACGGAAGAACAAGGGACCCGGTTCTCGAACGTGACCTCGTGCCGGAGGTTCCACCATGAATCAGACCCCGCACCAGTGCCAAACGCGTACACGAACAGTGAGTGATTGATGCTTACGGGCGAGTCGATAACCGAGCTTATTTCGCACCCATACACACGCTGACAGGGGGTATACCGAGAACAAGGGCTGGCAGAGATAGGCCTGCCGTCCAAAAGGCACAAAGGACTAAGTGCTATGCAAACCGATGGCTTTCAGGCCTTTTTGCCATTGGGCGGCAAGTCCGCATGGCGCAGAAGAAAACAAATGACTGATAGTGCGGCTTGGGTTCTAAAGCAGCCAGATTCACAAGGCTGCGGCACGATGTCTTGCGATATGGCTCTCCACTGCACAGCAGCCAGGGCTTACAGAGGGCGCTGGCGGCCCCCGCTTGTGTCAGGCCAGGTCAGGTCAGGTCAGGCGAGGCGACATCACCGATAGCCAGCTGACACACCCACCTGTTCAGATCTACTCACATACAACGCGACAAAACAGCCCGGCCCAGCTCGGCAACAGTACAGTGTGGTTCAACTTGAGTGAAGTCCCCAGACGAGCAGCTTATCTGGAGTTGGGGCCCAGCCCACTCGACTGCTACACCTAGCTATCATCTCGTTCCACAGCTATATATCTCGTCCGCGCCCACCTTAGTCAGCCTTCCGTTGCACCTCATACCACCAACGCACCAGCAACAGAGAGGACATGCGTCAGCTGCACCACACGCGCTCACTATACCCGCCTCACAGCCATCTCCCCTACACCCGCACCGATATGTCGTTTATCCCCCATCAACAACTAGGCAACACCCCACTGACACTGAGAGCTCCACCTCATCATCACCTGGGTGACACCCCACCGACACTGAGAGCTCCACCTCACCATCACCTGGGTGACACCCCACCGACACTGAGAGCTCCACCTCACCATCACCTGGGTGACACCCCACCACCACCCCGGCTCCACCCGGCCTCCATTGTGCCTCTGACCTGCAGTTCGGCCTGGTCGGTGGCGTCGGCCGCCTCGCCGAAGAAGACGGCCAGCGCCGAGTCACGGTGAAGCGCAGCGTCCAGCGGCACCGAGCGCTCGGCCGGGTCCTCCTCGATAATCTCCAGCGGGACCTCCAGCGCCGGCTCGTCCTCGTCACTGATCACAGACAGGTAGCTGCCGGACCATCGGCCTCTGTCAGCGGCCAGCAGGCACAGCGATACTGCTGGGGCGCCTCGGATGCAGTCCTGATGGTAATGGAGGTAACGGGCGCTTCAGCCGCGCCGAAACAGCACCGCTGCCGGCATCTCTACAGCGCCCTCTCGGCCACACCAGCGCCTAGCAGCCAACGGCCGCCGCCAGGAATCGAGCCCGCGCCCCACAGGTGTCGCCACCGCCGCCACCACTCACCCGTCCACAATGGCCTTCTGCGCCACGACGTCGGCCAGCTCGGCGAGCAGCCGGTCCGACTCGTCGCCGGGCGGCGGCGGCGGTGCCGGCGCCGCGCGCAGCCGCGCCAGCGCCGCCTCGTACTGGCGACTCAGCGTCATCACCGCCTCTTCCATCTCGGCGCGCAGACTCTCCGTGGCCACCGTGTACCTGCCGATCAGGTCAGGTCGGGTCAAGTCAGGTCACGTGCGGTCAGGTCACGTCTGGTCCGGGTAGGGCAGGGAAGAACAAGCATCGGGGTATTTAATGTGATACCATGGTCATATAATATGTAGCATAACATTATCTCATAAAATGTTATATGTATATATATATATATATATATATATATATATATATATATATATATATATATGCATTCTAACATGGGGTATATGATATCGGATCTGTCGTGCCAAACCACCTACAGGGCCGGAAGGTGCCATCATGTTAAGTTGAATCCGGTCATGTTACGTGACCATAGGCCAGAAAAATACTTCGAAAAATATTAATACCGAAAATATTAACGGAGAGGAAAAGAATGGAGACGAGCTTCAACCAAAACACGAAATCGTCAGTAAGTGACGCAATGCGTGAAACACGACGGCCGGTAACTGGGTGGTAACTGGGCGTACCAGGGCATCACTGGGCGTACCAGGGCGGTACCTGGGCGCACCAGGGCGGTAACTGGGCGTACCAGGGCGGTGACTGGACATACCAGGGCGGTACCTGGGCGCACCAGGGCGGTAACTGGGCGTACCAGGGCGGTGACTGGACGTACCAGGGCGTCACTGGGCGCACCAGATCGCCATGGTCCCACTCTGGAATCCATTGTTGGCGTGTGACGTGTCGCCTCGGCCCTGGCCCAGGCCTCAGCCTCGGCCCGGTTCCGGCATTCCCCACCCCGTGTCTCACCTGCGCTCAGCCGCCTCCTGCTGCGCCTGCACCAGGAAGAAGCAGTGCTGCCGGTCCACCTCAAGATCACGCTCGTACAGCTCCACAAACTTGAGCATCATGTGCGACATCTCGGCCTGGACCAGCTCCTGTGGGGCGGCAGTGCCGGCCGTAAGCGGTCCGGAGCGCAGCTACTGGCCAGGTCCGCCTGCGAGGAGCGGACCTCCCCTCCTCCCCTCCCCTCCACACCGGAGTGGTTGTGAAATGTTGTTGGCAAAGTCCTCAAGCAACATCACTTTGACGACAAATCAACCGCCCACCGTACGATGAGCTGATCGATTTCCAGCCCCCACCTCCTCCAGCAGTACCGATCGGCTCGCCCACCGGTGCGGGGTCAAGCCTTCAAATACAGACGACTCGAAATCCGAGGAGACCAAGAACCTCACCACTCCCTCCCTCTCACTACGAGCCTCTAAAACAGGCCCCCACGAGCAGCGCCCCCTCCCCACGCGTGCGTACCTCGCTGATGCTGTGCTGCGCCATGTTCCAGGCATCGCGAACCTTCACCTCTTCCAGCAGCTGGTCGTCGCCGGCCGGCGGCGGGCAGCTCAGCACAGTCTCGGCGGCCAGCGTCTCGGCCAGACGCTGCAGCTTGTCCGCCTTGAAGGCCGCCACCGCCGCCGTCACCTGACCGAGGGCAGGTCAGGCGGGTTAGGCGGTCGCCGCCGGCCTAACACGGGGGCGACGTCGGGGGGAAGGCAGGGAGGGCTGCCGTTAGTGTACCCAGCGAGGGGAAGGCAGGGAGGGCTGCCGTTAGTGTACCCAGCGAGGGGAAGGGAGGGAGGGCTGACGTTAGTGTACCCCAGCGAGGGGAAGGGAGGGAGGGCTGACGTTAGTGTACCCAGCGAGGGGAAGGGAGGGAGGGCTGCCGTTAGTGTACCCAGCGAGGGGAAGGGAGGGAGGGCTGACGTTAGTGTACCCAGCGAGGGGAAGGGAGGGAGGGCTGCCGTTAGTGTACCCAGCGAGGGGAAGGGAGGGAGGGCTGCCGTTAGTGTACCCAGCGAGGGGAAGGGAGGGAGGGCTGCCGTTAGTGTACCCAGCGAGGGGAAGGGAGGGAGGGCTGCCGTTAGTGTACCCGGGGAGGGGAAGAGAGGGAGGGCTGACGTTAGTGTACCCAGCGAGGGGAAGGGAGGGAGGGCTGCCGTTAGTGTACCCGGGGAGGGGAAGAGAGGGAGGGCTGCCGTTAGTGTACCCAGCGAGGGGGAAGGGAGGGAGGGCTGCCGTTAGTGTACCCGGGGAGGGGAAGAGAGGGAGGGCTGCCGTTAGTGTACCCAGCGAGGGGAAGGGAGGGAGGGCTGCCGTTAGTGTACCCGGGGAGGGGAAGAGAGGGAGGGCTGCCGTTAGTGTACCCAGCGAGGGGAAGGGAGGGAGGGCTGCCGTTAGTGTACCCGGGGAGGGGAAGAGAGGGAGGGCTGCCGTTAGTGTACCCGGCGAGGGGAAGGGAGGGAGGGCTGCCGTTAGTGTACCCGGGGAGGGGAAGAGAGGGAGGGGTGACGTTAGTGTACCCGGGGAGGGGAAGGGAGGGAGGGCTGCCGTTAGTGTACCCAGCGAGGGGAAGAGAGGGAGGGCTGCCGTTAGTGTACCCGGCGAGGGGAAAGAGAGGGAGGGCTGCCGTTAGTGTACCCGGGGAGGGGGAAGGGAGGGAGGGCTGGCCGTTAGTGTACCCAGCGAGGGGAAGAGAGGGAGGGCTGCCGTTAGTGTACCCGGCGAGGGGAAGAGAGGGAGGGCTGACGTTAGTGTACCCAGCGAGGGGAAGAGAGGGAGGGCTGCCGTTAGTGTACCCGGCGAGGGGAAGGGAGGGAGGGCTGCCGTTAGTGTACCCAGCGAGGGGAAGAGAGGGAGGGCTGCCGTTAGTGTACCCGGCGAGGGGAAGAGAGGGAGGGCTGCCGTAGTGTTACCGGGGAGGGGAAAGAGAGGGAGGGCTGCCGTTAGTGTACCCGGGGAGGGGAAGAGAGGGGAGGGCTGCCTGTTAGTGTAACCCGCGAGGGGAAAGAGGGAGGGCTGCCGTTAGTTGTACCGGGGAGGGGAACGAGAGCTGCGCTTTAGTGTACCCGGGGAGGGGAAGAAAGGGAGGGCTGCCGTTAGTGTACCCGGCGAGGGGAAGAGGGAGGGCTGCCGTTAGTGTACCCGGGGAGGGGAGGGAGGGCTGACGTTAGTGTCCCAGCGAGGGGAAGGAGGGAGGCTGACGTTATGTACCCAGCGAGGGGAAGGAGGGAGGGCTGACGTTAGTGTACCCACGAGGAGATAGGAGGGAGGGCTGCCGTTCGTGTACCCGGGGAGGGGAAGAAGGGATGGCTGCCGTTAGTGTACCCAGCGAGGGGAAGAGGGAGGCTGACGTTAGTGTACCCACGAAATAAGGAGGGCTGGTGCCGTTAGTGTACCCGGGGAGGGGAGAGAGGAGGGCTGCCGTTAGGTGTACCCGGCGAGGGAAGAGAGGGAGGGCTGCCGTTAGTGTACCCGGGGAGGGGAAGAGAGGGAGGGCTGCCGTTAGTGTACCCGGGGAGGGGAAGAAGGGAGGGCTGCCGTTAGTGTACCCGGCGAGGGGAAGAGAGGGAGGGCTGCCGTTAGTGTACCGGGGAGGGAAAAGAGGGAGGGCTGCCGTTTAGTGTACCCGGGGAGGGGAAGAGAGGGAGGGCTGCCGTTTAGTGTACCCGGCGAGGGGAAGAGAGGGAGGGCTGCCGTTAGTGTACCCGGGGAGGGGAAGAGAGGGAGGGCTGCCGTTAGTGTACCCGGGGAGGGGAAGAGAGGGAGGGCTGCCGTTAGTGTACCCGGCGAGGGGAAGAGAGGGAGGCTGCCGTTAGTGTACCCGGGGAGGGGAAGAGGGAGGGCTGCCGTTAGTGTACCCGGGGAGGGGGAAGAAGGGAAGGGCTGCCGTTAGTGTACCCGGGGAGGGGAAGAGAGGGAGGGCTGCCGTTAGTGTACCCGGGGAGGGGAAAGAGAGGGAGGGCTGCCGTTAGTGTACCCGGGAGGGAGAGAGGCGGCTGGCCGTTTAGTTACCCGGGGAGGGGAAGAGAGGGAGGGCTGCCGTTAGTGTACCCGGGGAGGGGAAGAGAGGGAGGGCTGCCGTTAGTGTACCCGGCGAGGGGAAGATAGGGAGGGCTGCCGTTAGTGACCCGGGGAGGGGAAGAGAGGGAGGGCTGCCGTTAGTGTACCCGGGGAGGGGAAGAGAGGGAGGGCTGCCGTTAGTGTACCCGGCGAGGGGAAGAGAGGGAGGGCTGCCGTTAGTGTACCCGGGGAGGGGGAAGAGAGGGAGGGCTGCCGTTAGTGTACCCGGCGAGGGGAAGAGAGGGAGGGCTGCCGTTAGTGTACCCGGGGAGGGGAAGAGAGGGAGGGCTGCCGTTAGTGTACCCGGGGAGGGGAAGAGAGGGAGGGCTGCCGTTAGTGTACCCGGGGAGGGGAAGAGAGGGAGGGCTGCCGTTAGTGTACCCGGGGAGGGGAAGAGAGGGAGGGGCTGCCGTTAGTGTACCCGGGGAGGGGAAGAGAGGGAGGGCTGCCGTTAGTGTACCCGGGGAGGGGAAAGAGAGGGAGGGCTGCCGTTAGTGTACCCGGGGAGGGGAAGGGAGGGAGGGCTGCCGTTAGTGTACCCGGGGAGGGGAAGAGAGGGAGGGCTGACGTTAGTGTACCCAGCGAGGAGAAGAGAGGGAGGGCTGCCGTTAGTGTACCCGGGGAGGGGAAGAGAGGGAGGGCTGCCGTTAGTGTACCCGGGGAGGGGAAGAGAGGGAGGGCTGCCGTTAGTGTACCCGGGGAGGGGAAGAGAGGGAGGGCTGCCGTTAGTGTACCCAGCGAGGAGAAGAGAGGGAGGGCTGCCGTTAGCGTACCCGGGGAGGGGAAGAGAGGGAGGGCTGCCGTTAGCGTACCCGGGGAGGGGAAGAGAGGGAGGGCTGCCGTTAGTGTACCCGGGGAGGGGAAGAGAGGGAGGGCTGCCGTTAGTGTACCCGGGGAGGGGAAGAGAGGGAGGGCTGCCGTTAGCGTACCCGGGGAGGGGAAGAGAGGGAGGGCTGCCGTTAGTGTACCCGGGGAGGGGAAGGCAGGGAGGGCTGCCGTTAGTGTACCCGGGGAGGGGAAGAGAGGGAGGGCTGCCGTTAGTGTACCCGGGGAGGGGAAGGGAGGGAGGGCTGCCGTTAGTGTACCCGGGGAGGGGAAGAGAGGGAGGGCTGCCGTTAGTGTACCCGGGGAGGGGAAGAGAGGGAGGGCTGCCGTTAGTGTACCCGGGGAGGGGAAGAGAGGGAGGGCTGCCGTTAGTGTACCCGGGGAGGGGAAGGCAGGGAGGGCTGCCGTTAGTGTACCCGGGGAGGGGAAGAGAGGGAGGGCTGCCGTTAGTGTACCCGGGGAGGGGAAGGCAGGGAGGGCTGCCGTTAGTGTACCCGGGGAGGGGAAGGGAGGGAGGGCTGTCGTTAGTGTACCCGGGGAGGGGAAGGCAGGGAGGGCTGCCGTTAGTGTACCCGGGGAGGGGAAGGGAGGGAGGGCTGTCGTTAGTGTACCCGGGGAGGGGAAGGCAGGGAGGGCTGCCGTTAGTGTACCCGGGGAGGGGAAGAGAGGGAGGGCTGCCGTTAGTGTACCCGGGGAGGGGAAGGCAGGGAGGGCTGCCGTTAGTGTACCCGGGGAGGGGAAGGCAGGGAGGGCTGCCGTTAGTGTACCCGGGGAGGGGAAGAGAGGGAGGGCTGCCGTTAGTGTACCCGGGGAGGGGAAGGCAGGGAGGGCTGCCGTTAGTGTACCCGGGGAGGGGAAGGCAGGGAGGGCTGCCGTTAGTGTACCCGGGGAGGGGAAGAGAGGGAGGGCTGACGTTAGTGTACCCGGGGAGGGGAAGGCAGGGAGGGCCGCCGTCAGCGTATCCTGACGTGTGAAGGAGTCGAAGCGCTGGCCGCCAGGGCAACCATCGGCGCTCTGGTGGGTACCAGAGTATTCTAGGGAGTATTAGAGTCTCGGGGACGGGGGTGCTGGAGTGCACTGGGAAGTACGAGTACTGGAGCATGCCATGAGAATGCTGATGGCGTCGTCTGACGGGTGAGGTGTCAGCCGGGCCACCTGACCCAGCATCACCTGATGCCGGAAGGGGGAGGGACATCAGCGCTACTGGTCACTCTCCGATCGGTTTCATCGCGATTGCTCAGCTGGCTAATCTCGTACATTTCACTTCGACCTTGCATGCCCCCAGTTCAGGCTCCAGATGTGGCGGGGGGTAACCCAGTTCAGTCGCCAGGAGTACCCCTCGTTTCAGCAGGCTCCGCAGGTCCACTCTGTGACACTAGCCCTACCCTCATGTTTCAGCAGGTCCCCGTCCAGTCTCTGACACTGGTCTCAGGGTATGGTCCCGTCTCCCACACTGACCTCGGCCTCCTGCTTCAGCAGGCTCTGGTGCAGCTGCTGCAGCTGGCGGTCGCGCTGGACAGCCGGCGGGCGCCGGGTGGGCGTGGGCCGGGTCTGACGCGACCTCAGGCCGGCCGACGCCTCCTCCAGCGAGCCCAGTCGCTCGGCTAGGAGCGCCGAGAACGACTCCACCATCTGCCGGGTCACGTCAGGTCACGTCAGGTCACGTCGGAAGCAGCAGGCGGTCGTTAACCTGACACGTTGTCATCTAAGGCACGTCTGGGTCAACAAACGTTGACAAACCGAAATCACAGGCCTCACTGAAGACGAAGCGACGAAAGGAACAGTGGGCCATTCCTTTCCCTTTCACCGCGGGTAATTTTGCCTCAAACCAATGACCCCTATACCCGCGGCACCATCCATGGTCCCTACGACCCCCCCCCCCTAACACCAAGCCGCCTGCCGCCACCGCCGTCACGCACCCCGCTCGAGACGTTCTCGACGGCCCCCGTCTGCAGGCGCTCCCGGAGCGTGCCGACCCTGCGGTGCGTCTCGAGCAGCTCGCGCAGCCGCAGCTGGCGCTCGAACGGCTCGGGCTCGGCCGCCGACCGCAGCGCCTCGGCCAGACACGCCAGCAGCACTGTCTGGTAAGCCAGCCGTTCGGCGGCCAGCCGGCGCCGCTCGGCCGCCGTCCAGCGGCGCGCCGCCTTCAGCTGCGCCTGCGCCTGCGCCTGCTCCTGGGCCTTGCGCAGCAGCAGCTGGTGGATGCGCTCGACCAGCACTCGCACGCCCTCCGGCGCCGACGGCCGCTGGCCGGCGAGCAGGTCCGAGGTCTCGGCCAGCCGTGCGCACACCGGCGACATCTGTCGGAGCGGAATGGCAACTGCGGTCAGACACTTGCCGGGTGCTGACCGTCTTGATCTAGATGTGATCCCTGATCCCCCAGCCGCTGACGTGCTCCGCGCGTGCGCGTGACTCCCGCTGGACGAGGTACGCAGGCACAGGAGCGACGCCGCACTGACTAGCGTTGACACGGTCAGTCGCCTTCCAAAGCGAGGATGTGCACTTTGAATCCGTACGGCACTTACAGGTCGGTTTCACCAACAGCATGATGGTTATCATCACTACCATGACCACATCCATGATCCATGACACAATAATCAAGATAACTACCCCTGATGAAGACCAAAACATGCCTCCATAACTATCTTCTGATGAGGTGACTTACTTGAACGTTGACACCTGTCTCTCAGGCGTAGCCAGCCCCACACTGTGCCACTGACCTGTGGCAGATCGGCTGCTCGCATCTCGTCGACGCACGAGTCCAGCTGTTCGCGCACCTGACGCACCAGACCCTCCAACTTGCGCAGCCGGAGCCTAACGTCGCCCCGCGCCGCGCGCTCCTCGGTCCGCTCCGGAGAGGCCGAGCGCTGCTCCGCAGAGCGCGCGCGCGCCTTGCGCGCCGGCGCCGGCGAACGGCGCGGCGGAGACGGCGACTTCTTGACGCGACCGGCCACGCGCTGCTCCAGCGCGTTCACGCGCATGATGACGCGCAACGAGTCAGATGATGTCACACCGTCTAGGCTCTTGCGGCGCAGCCGCGACGCCTTGGTCGACTCCTCAAAGCTGCGCGAACGGCGCGCACGGCCGTCGGCCGCCGCCGCTGCCGCTGGTGCTGCCTCCACCGCCGGCGCCGGCGCCGAGGCCTTCCCGGGCGAGCTCTCACGCTCAGAGCCGGCGGAGGGCGTCGCCGAGCCGGCGACGGGCGTGACCGGGGCGGCGACTGGCGTGGCCTGGGCGGCGACCGGCGTGGCCGGCGTGCGGAGGGCAGGCGTCGGCGCACCGCCGTCCCAGGCCGCCACGCGCGCTTCCAGCGCCGCCAGCTTGGCCTCCAACTCCAGCGGGATAGAGAACGACTCGCGCCCCTTCAGGGAGGAGGTGCGCCGCCGGTCGCGCGCGTCGCCCTTGGTCATCTTCTGCTTAAGCTGGCGCGCCTGGCGGCCAGACGGCGCAGGAGTGAGGGCGCGGAGGGAGTTCAAGCCCGGCAGGGCCTGAGAGCAGTGTCGATGGTGGGAACACACGTGCCGGCAGTATCTGCGTGCGGGTAACAACAAAGCGGACGTCGGCGGCTGCGGCCGGCGGGGGACGTGCGACGACAGCCACTGGAGAGCAGCGCTAACACACACTCACACACCCTCACCCACACCCCCACATCCCCCCCCCCCCCACACACGCACAGCCGACAGCCTGGGGCTGGAGCATTTGGAAACATCCGGGCGGCTAAACAAAACCTTCATGCGGGCAGAATATCCATCAATAGACGATATAAAGACACAGCGTGGGAGGCAAGGACTCAACACCAACGGACTAGCCGCACTCCACAAATAGCGCGCACAAGCCGTTACCTTCCTCCGTTTCTGCGGCGTTGAGAAGACATTCCACAGATGAGATACAGCGAGAATGCCATCCTTCGAAGTGCAGGCAATGGATTCAGCACAAAAGGTTAAGTGTCAAAAGCCATTCAATCTCGCCTGATGCGCACCTTTAGGTTCACAGCTATCGCTCGGCGTGTGTTAGATGTCTCACAGCGCGCCCCAGTTTTAGCGTCCACGTACATACGCCCAGCAAGCGAATAACATATCTCGATTCAGCAGCCTTTCCAGCGTTGCCTGGCGGCCGCGCCAGCACTGGCGCCTGGCCGCGTGCCGACCGGCGCCGCTCACCTGTTTCTCGGAGGTGGCCAGTTTGGCGGTGAGGTCCTGCAGCCGATCACGCATCAGGGCTGCCTCCGCCGCGTGCGTCTCGTCCTTGCCCTGCAACGGCAGACGGGTCAGTCGGGCAAAGACAGGTCAGGTTGGGGAGTCGGTCTCAGCCACGACAGACCCCGCTCGGGCGGGTGACATCAGCACAGGTCAGGTCACGACAGACCCCGCTCGGGAGGGTGACATCAGCACAGGTCAGGTCACGACAGACCCCGCTCGGGAGGGTGACACCAGTACAGGTCAGGCCACGATAGACCCCGCTCGGGAGGGTGACATCAGCACAGGTCAGGTCACGACAGACCCCGCTCGGGAGGGTGACACCAGTACAGGTCAGGCCACGATAGACCCCGCTCGGGAGGGTGACATCAGCACAGGTCAGGTCACGACAGACCCCGCTCGGGAGGGTGACATCAGCACAGGTCAGGCCACGACAGACCCCGCTCGGGCGGGTGACATCAGCACAGGTCAGGTCACGACAGGCCCTCTCGGGAGGGTGACATCAGCACAGGTCAGGTCAACACACATCTGACTCAGCACTCAGCTGAGTGCTGTCACACGCTTAGACAGGTCCAACCAATCCACGTCGGCGGCGACGGGAGTGCGCTGAGACGGGTTCACTCGAGGCACCTCCCCATTGCGATCAGTACAGATTTGTGGCGACTGGAGCTGAACCCTATACGCTGCGATCGCAAGCAAACCCGACACACCACTCGGCGAGCGACGCCGGGTGGGGCGATAGCGTGGAGCAGCAGTGAAGCTGCGCGTCTGGAGAACCAGAGTGAATAGGCTTGATTGCCCGTAGTGCCCGCCCTTTCAGCCAGGGTGAAAGGCAAACAACGCCACAAAGCCTCAGCAGCTGAGCGCGTCGTTAAGCCCCAGTGGCTGCCACAGCCGGCACTGACCTCCAGGTCGCTGGCCAGCCGGGCGGCCTCCAGCTCAGCCCGGTCCTGTTCCCCCTGCACCTCGCGCAGCTGGCGCTTCAGAGCGCGGATCTCGCTGACAGCCTTCTCGAACCGCTCCAGCAGCGAGTCGTACTCCTCCCGCAATCTGCGCCGCACGGGCCAAACGGTGCCACAACCGAAACCACGCCAGCGAGGATACGACACCAGCCAGCGAGGGCTCCGAGAACGAGCTCGGCAATCAGCAGACAGACGAAACAGTATCACTCAGGCAGACGGCTGTAGTGGACATGCACATAAAGAGTACCACTCAGGCAGATGGCTGTGGTGGATATGCACATAAACAGTATCACTCAGGCAGATGGCTGTGGTGGATATGCACATTAAGAGTATCAATCAGGCAGACAGCTGTAGTGGGCATGCACATAAACAGTATCAATCAGGCAGACAGCTGTAGTGGGCATGCACATAAAGAAACATGCATGCATACACACATACATACACACAGATACATATATACATACACATACATACATACATACATATACAAAAGTATCACTCAGGCAGACAGCTGTAGTGGATATGCACATAAAGGAACATGCATGTATACATACATGCATACGCAATAGATGCATACAAACGTACATGCGCACATACACGCATGTACAAACATACACGGGCATAATACGGTCTGGCGCAGCGGATGGTAAAATGATATCACAGCCCATAGCGCAAGGCAAACCCCCTCCTAAACCGAGGCCAGCGGGCGCCGGGGCCCACAGGCGAGGGTCAGACGCCGGGCCGCCCTGGTCCAGCAGCGGGCGGCGGTCGGCCGGCACTGACCTCTGCCGGCTCATGCCGTCCGTGTCGGTCTCGATGCCGGCCGTCAAGTCGCTGAGCGAGGCGATCCTGGCGATCTGCAGCTGACGCCGTGACGAGAACCGCTCCCTGCGCGGCGGCGGCGGCCGACGCTCAGGCGGGGCACGCGCCGCCCACACGGCGCACATAACGTCCGTCCACACACGGAGGGACGAGGCAGGACCAGGTCACAAGGAGGGTCAGGCCATGGAGGCCAAGGAGGGTCAGGTCATGCCACAAGAGTCAGATCACAGTCAGTCAGGTCGGAGGGCAGTCAGGTCAGGTCACCCAAAAAGGGTCTGATCGGAGTGTCCAAGCACGGCACGCGGAGGTGCTAGATCACACCATGGGGGGGGGAGGGGGCAAACGAGTCGCATATCGGTTCACCCGACGGCGCCTACAACGGGGCATAGAACACCACCCGTGCTAAGCCGTCCCAACACCAACCCCAGTCTACTCGCACCAATCTATGCACAGCGTGGCCGAACAAACGTACCGAGAGTCCGCCCCCGAAACCACACGCGTAGCGCACTCATCCCCGACTCTTGACACGTGCGTGTCCCAGACCTAATGCACAGGCCCTCCACTCGCCCAACCCTGGAGCCCCCCCCCCCTCTCGCCGATTCTCCTGGCGCCCTGACCGGGGCCGCCTCGCCGCACCGCTGACCTGGAGGTGCCCAGAGCTGGACTGGCCGCCAGCGGCGGGTTGTTGCGCAACTCCCGCACACGCGCCGTCAGTGCCTCGTTCTCCTCGATCCCCTGCTGAAGTCGTGCGCGCACCGTCTCCAGCTCCTGGCGCACGCTCACCAGCTCCTGGCGCGCTTCGCGGGCCTCCCTGTCGTGGAATAGGAGGGCGAGGGTCACGCGGGTTGACTTCATACCCTCTCACCCTGTCGCCAGCCCCACCCCATACCCTCTCACCCTGTCGCCAGCCCCACCCCATACCCTCTCACCCTGTCGCCAGCCTCACCTCATACCCTCTCACCCTGTCGCCAGCCCCACCCCATACCCTCTCACCCTGTCGCGAGCCTCACCTCATACCCTCTCACCCTGTCGCCAGCCCCACCCCATACCCTCTCACCCTGTCGCCAGCCTAACCTCATACCCTCTCACCCTGTCGCCAGCCCCACCCCATACCCTCTCACTCTGTCGCGAGCCTCACCTCATACCTTCTCACCCTGTCGCCAGCCCCACCCCATACCCTCTCACCCTGTCACCAGCCCAACCTCATACCTTCTACTGTGGGTGCGCGGGTACGTGTGCGTGTGTGTCGTTACCCTCGATGTCATCCCTAGCCTCACCGCCGTACCTGCGCTGCTTCTCCAACTCCGAGGAGCGATCCTCCAGCAGAGAACGCAGCTCGTGCACTAGGTCCTTCAGCTTGTACACTTCAGACTTGTCCTGCTTGATGGCGTCCTTGGTGGTCTGCTGCGCCTCCAGCTCGTCACGCAGACGGCACATCTGGGGATGAGACAGGTCAGAGATGTCAGGGGTCAGACGGCCCGTAGACGGCAGGTCACAGAGGTCAGAGGTCCGGCGGCCCCGCAGATGGCAGGCCACGGACGTTAGAGGCCAGAAGGCCCCGCAGGTAGCATGGCTCCTCGCCGGGCGGCACCGAGGGTCAGGGATTCCAAAGGCTCCGCGGACGGCACGGCCGGCAGGCGCCAGGGGTCAGAGTGGCCAGAGGTCAGAGCGGTCGCAGGATATCAATAGACAAACGGCGGAAATCAGCATCAAAACAAACAGATGAGCTGTGCCTGGACAATTCATCGAACCTGGCTTACGGCGAGCTACCTCGCCTTGCACCAATAGTCGTTAATGCCTGTCATCATTGCTTTTGCCATGAGCCGGAAGGAAGGAAGAAAGAGGGAACAGAGAGAACAGAGAGAAGAGAGAGAATGGAGAGAAGAGAGAAAGAGAAAAAGAGAAACAGAGAAAGGGAAAGAGAGAAAGAGAGAATGCGCGGGAGAGAGAGAGAGAGGGAGAGAGGAGAGGGACAGGGAGAGAGAGAGGAAGGGAGGGAGGAAGAGAGAGGCAGGGGATGACGGGAGGGGGAGGGGGCAGCGTCAGGGATCGGGCACGACCGTCATCCGCCGCCGGACTGCAGCCGAGCGTTACGCGGCAGCGGGAGGCGATTATTCCACGGTGACCAGTTACAGGACATTGACCCGGACGCATTTCTCGTTCTCCCGCTGCCTGGCTCTGCCGCTGCCGCTCCATCGGCGCCATTCAGACGGCACCCGGCCGGCAGAGACGGCAGACGGCGGCGATCAGGGGCCGCGCTCCGAGCGGCGCGCAACCCCGCCGGCGCCGCGCCCTACTAAACGGCCCGTGCACCGCCGGTCTGCCGGCGGCGATCAGGGGCCGCGCTCCGAGCGGCGCGCGCCGGCGCCGGCGCCGCGCCCTACTAAACGGCCAGCGCGCCGCCAGTTTTCCACAGCCACAGCCGTCCCCCGTGCGAGCGGCCTCCCCTGAGCGCCAACACAGCGTACGAGCACGGTTGTGCCGGCCCGTAGACGGCGCACGGCGCAGCGTACGAGCACGGTTGTGCCGCCGGTGGAGGCGCGTGTCCGACGCGGTGCCGGTCGCCCAGCGACCGCCAATGACCGCCGGTGACCGCCGGTGACTGGTGATCAGTGACAAGCTGACCTCTGTCTGGCGAGCGGCGGCATCCTCCCTGAGCTGGCGCACCTCCTGCTGGCGCGAGCTCTGCGCCGCCTCCACTTGGTCCGCCAGCGAGCGCATCTGCGCCTGAGGAACAGGGGCCGGGGCAAGGCGTTACCCCCCTGTGAATGGGGCGGCGGCCTCCAGACGGGGACAGACTGCCGGGCGGACCACCGGCTCCAAACGATGACAGACCAGCAGGCGGACCACCGGCTCCGAACGGGGACAGGCCATCGATCGCTGGCCCCGACGACCCATTGTGAGTGAGGTATCTTACTCGAATAAACTCGGAACAAAGACCCGGTGAACTGCCGGCAACAGCATAACTGACAATCCGCGCCAACAGCGTAACGTAGCGTGGCTGTCAACAGGGCGAGACTGATTGGACGCTGGCTCTGGGTGGCCTTTTCTACCGGACGGAAACCACTGACGAAAGTCTAACAGCCACAGACACAAACCTCAGCTAGCCAACAGCCGCCCACGGCAGCACCTACAGCGTCCAAACTCGGTCGTCCCTCCCCTCCCCCCTCCCAATACATCGCACGGCGCATCAAACGGACCGCCATCAGCGCCACCATGCGTAACCGGCGGCCGCGCTACTCAACCGCACGCCGGGAGCGGAGCACCCGAGCGCGGCAAATCAACGGCGCACGCGGCGGGGCACCGGGGCACGACAAATCACCGACAACGGCAGCGGAGCGCCCAAGAACGACAGATCAACACCGCTCTCACCTCCGCCTGCCTGAGCTGCACGGTGAGCTGGTGGACAGTGCGATCGGTCTCAGCGTGCGCCTCGTGCGCCTCCAGCAGCTCCTGCAGCCGGTGCTCGGTCTCGGCCAGCTTCTGCTCCCAGTCGGCGTGGTCCTTCAGGTACCTGGACGCGCGCACGCGGCGGCTCCGTGGCGTCAGAGGCGCGGCCGGTACCGCGGCAAGCTAAGCCGCGCAGGACGGACGGGGCGCGCTACCGTTCCGCGGCGAGCACAGAGGCACGCCGCCTTCCTCGCCACACCAGCGAACAATGGCAACACACCGCAACAGACAATAGACACCTCAAGTAGTACCAGCAGCACGCGGAACTCCACAACTAGCCGATGAGAGCAGCTTGTACGTCAGTGGCCGACAGGGCTTCTGCACCGCCGCAGCACAGAGCCATGACTCCATGGCTCATATGGGAGCCATGAAGTCATGAGTCACAGGGGAGCCACGAAGACAGAGTTTTCTCCACCGCCTCCCGCCGAGACCATCGTAACACCACGATCGTACCTTTCCTCGAGCTTCTCATAATGCCGCCGCCACTGCTCGTCGTCGGCGTGGCCCTCCTTGGCCGCCTGCACTTCCTCGTACTGGTCCAGCAGATCGTGGTACCTGATGAGCGCGCCAGAATGTCAACTGAAGCAGCAGCTGTTCTCCGCTAGGGCCGACTTATTCATGCCCTTGAAAATGTAAACGGACCCTAAAATGATGGCGAATAGCAGAGGCCGCATAGGTTAGGAGTGTCGGGGCGCGGAGCACCGAGTAATCGTCAGAATGATGAGAAAAAACTTTGACCTGTCTCATTCCACGGCCATATTTGATAGCCCTCTCGGTCGGCGACAGGCGTCCCGACACGCAGGGTTTATATATAGAGTTCCAAAAGCTGAGGACTTGGCATGACAGAGCAAAGTCCAGGCGGCTGACTGCGCCACGCTCAAACCACGGAGCCCACGACCACGCTGCTGTGGTTACCAGCGTGACGTTCTGTTGGCATATCTGGCCGCCGTCCCTCCTCCTTCCGGATCTCGACCCACCTCGTCTCCAGCATCTGCAGCTGCTGCAGCTGCTCTGTCTTTTCGGCCAGCTCGCGCTCCTGCCGCTGCAGTTGCTGTAGAAGCTGACTCAGTTGCTGCTCCAGGCTCGAGGCGCGCGTGCGCCATTCGGTGAGCTCGCGCGAGCGGCTCTCCTCAGCGGCGGTGGCGCGTCGCGCGTCCCGCTCAGCCTCGTCCTTCTCAACCTCCAGCGCGTCCAGACGATGGCGCAGCCTGGTAAGCTCGCGCGAACTAGCGCCGGCCGGGTCGCCACGAGATGGTGGCTCGGTCGGCATAGTGCGCAGCGATGACCGCAGCTGCGGAAAGTCAGAGGTTGCACGGGGTGATCAGGGCGAATAAAACAGCATAAAATACCACAACAAAGTACATGAATATCCCCATTATATGTGCTTATATATAATGACGGCGCACGCACATTGTAATCCACCCCCCCCCCACCCACACACCCACACCCACACCCACACCCACACCCACCCCCACACCCACACACACACACATACATATATATATATATATATATATATATATATATATATTTATATATATATATATATATATATATATATATATATATATATATATATATATATATATATATATAGAACCTGGCCCGAAGGCATAAGTAGAGCAGGCCAGTGTGGAGCGCGACGTAGATGTGGACGATAGTGACGGTGCTGGCGGTGAGCACAACTTCGGTTGAAAGCCACTGATGACCAGCGTGGAGAAACAAATGCTTACAGATGTGATGCCATCAATCAGGTTTTTCCAAAAAGTAGGCAGCGCATTTCAAGCTTTCACAGATTACGTCGCCGACCCCCCGAAATCGCCATTCGAAACACCTGAAAACATTGTTCCAGAGCGCAAAAGGTAGATACGCAACCCCGTGTCTGCCGCCAACCGAGTACCAAACGTAATAAAGACGTGCGTGGGGCAATAATCACGGGCAAAATGCCCAGCCTGTGGCAAAAAAGCCTTAGTGACACGGCCAAAGCAGCCCCGAACGCGCTGTCAGTGACAAGCCGTGGCCAACGTTTGCATAGGTACTTAAATGTGACTCCAAGTTCAGAGCAGAGGGGCACAGCTGGCGGTGCCACCACTTGCGTATATGAAATCACAATCTGCGCGATGTGTTTTCACTCACGCGCAATACAACAAGCGTATGAGGCTACAACGCCACACTATAAGTAATGAGAAACGATCCATGGGCTACCACAACCAATTATTCGACATTCCCACTGAAAGTACCGCGGAAGTTCTAGTTCGCGGTCTCTTAGCCTGTCTCGCGGTCCTCCCAGTCCATCTCGTGCTCCACCCAGTCCGTCTTCCGCTCCTCCCAGTCCGTCTCGCGCTCCTCCCAGTCCGTCTCGCACTCCTCCCAGTCTGCCTTGCGCCGCTCCCCAGGCCGTCTCGCGCTGCTCGCAGGCCGCTCTGTACGTCGCGCCGCCACACATGCGTTGGCCCACCCACCTTGGACCGGTCCAGGCAGCTGGCGTAGGTCTCGCGGGCGTCCAGCCGGTCCGACAGCATACTCTCCGGGCGCAGTGACGACCGCAGCGACTCCTGCGGCATCGGGCACGTACGTCAGGTGCGCCGGCATGGTCGCCGCCGTCGCTGCCGTCGCCGGCCGGCAGGCGCAACAGTCGGCTCCAGTCCGCGACAGGGGGAGGGAGCCGAACGTCACCGACCCCTCCCGCTGTCGAGAGTGCCCAGCAGGTGGAGACGGCGGAGAGCCGGCCGGAGCAGTGTCACCTGTCTTCGCCAGTGCGGCTGCCGCCATACAGAGCCTATCCTGATGGCCGTGGACGTGTGGCCCGCGTGCACTGAGAGTCCCGTCACCACCGACGCCCGTTCACGGCCGGCAGCTCTCCCGGCGGCCGGCAGTTCTCCCGGCGGCCGGCAGCTCTCACGGCGGCCGGCAGCTCTCCCGGCGGCCGGCAGCTCTCCCGGCGGCCGGCAGCTCTCCCGGCAGCCAACAGTGACGGTCGTCACCGAGGCCGTCCTGTTCAACGTCCGGTCTGCTGCTGCACCGCTAACCTCTCGCCGAAAACGGAAGCACGCGAAGCATTTGGATCACCAGGACGCCAACAGCACATCTAAATATGGCCAAGCTCGGCGCGCACTTCTTGCACAGCGTGTGTCCTTCTGCGCCACCAGCGTCGCGCGGTCTGTGCCACAGTGCTACACCTGTCCACCTCTGAACACCCAACTTACAGCGAAACCCAAACACGAGGTCACTGCGGACCGGCGAATGACGAACACCAGCCTGACGGCCCCTGAAACATCGCTTGGTCCGGCCGGAACACAGGCAACACGAACCGGGCTCTGATACTGAAGTGGAGCATCGAACTGACGGCCGGCTTCCAACGGCGCTCGGATAACCCGCCGCTAGTCAGCGGAACCGAACCTGACAAATGGTCATGATCTCTGTGCACAGCAGCCACGCCGCCTCGGATGTCCCGCCGCTAGTCAGCGGAACCGGACCTGACAAATGATCATGATCTCTGTGCACCGGAACCCCGCCGCCTCGGATGTCCCGCCGCTAGTCAGCGGAACCGGACCTGACAAATGGTCATGATCTCTGTGCACCGGAACCCCGCCGCCTCGGATGTCCCGCCGCTAGTCAGCGGAACCGGACCTGACAAATGGTCATGATCTCTGTGCACCGGAACCCCGCCGCCTCGGATGTCCCGCCGCTAGTCAGCGGAACCGGACCTGACAGATGGTCATGATCTCTGTGCACCGGAACCCCGCCGCCTCGGATGTCCCGCCGCTAGTCAGCGGAACCGGACCTGACAAATGGTCATGATCTCTGTGCACCGGAACCCCGCCGCCTCGGATGTCCCGCCGCTAGTCAGCGGAACCGGACCTGACAAATGGTCATGATCTCTGTGCACCGGAACCCCGCCGCCTCGGATGTCCCGCCGCTAGTCAGCGGAACCGGACCTGACAAATGGTCATGATCTCTGTGCACCGGAACCCCGCCGCCTCGGATGTCCCGCTGCTAGTCAGCGGAACCGGACCTGACAAATGGTCATGATCTCTGTGCACCGGAACCCCGTCGCCTCGGATGTCCCGCCGCTAGTCAGCGGAACCAGGCCTGACAAATGGTCATGATCTCTGTGCACCAGAACCCCGCCGCCTCGGATGTCCCGCCGCTAGTCAGCGGAACCAGGCCTGACAAATGGTCATGATCTCTGTGCACTGGAACCCCGCCGCCTCGGATGTCCCGCCGCTAGTCAGCGGAACCAGGCCTGACAAATGGTCATGATCTCTGTGCACCGGAACCCCGCCGCCTCGGATGTCCCGCCGCTAGTCAGCGGAACCAGGCCTGACAAATGGTCATGATCTCTGTGCACAGCAGCCACGCCGCCGGAAGTCCCGGCCAGCACCACACATCCGGACCGCATCCGAACCACCACCATCGCCCCCCCCCCCCCCCCCCCAGCGAACTAAAGTGCATGAGAACGTAAAAGCCAGGTGCAAGACACAAGTAACGCAAGACCAAAAATAAATTGCCAACACTGGCTGTGACGGAGATAAACATTGACTGCTTTGCGACGCCTAGGTGCGGACTGAGTATCATCAAGGCGGGTCCCAGGCCACGTCTCCTACGCACACACCGCCGCCGCCGAGCTGTGGAGGCCAGCCGGCGCTCACGGCTCGAGGGCGACGCCCTCTCTCACACACAGACGTGCGCGCACGCACGCCCGCCCACGCACAGATGCCTCCGGAGCGGCGCGCGCGGACATGGCGGCGGCGGTGGACCGTGACGGAGGTTCTGCCGGCCGCGTCTCCTGGCCGTCGCCGGGGAAGCGTTGCGGTCCTGGCAGTCGGACCAGCAGCCAGAGAGATCCGACCAGAGCTCAGCCTGCCAGGCGGGCTGCTAACGTCGGCAACCAGTGTGGTTGACTTGGCAACGCGTCACACTTCCTCAATAAGGCCGATGCTGAATAAATCGCTCTGGCTCCGCCATTACCGTGCTGAGTGATTTGGAACCGTGCCATCATTTACGAGATATTCCGTGTAATTTGGTGCAGCTGGAAAATCCATAATCACGGAGACCTACAGCAAACACCTCCAAAACAACCAAAACATTACGGACCTCCGTGGAAATGGGGTTAATACACCACACGCTCTTGTTTTCCCGCCAAGTCGTGCCCAATCTGTCGAGGGCGAAACGCGACCAAAACGCGGCGTAGGCAGCAATCAGCTGGAGCATTTCAAGCGAAGAACTCAGGCAAAACGCACCAACCGGCTGCATGTAACAGGACGGCACACTCAGTCAAGCCTTGGCGAGAGCTCATGTTTTGCGGCACCCTGTTCGCACTCCTTTCATTCTTCTCCCGCTCCGATGGTCTTTCCGGCTGTTCTACATGGGGGTGCGGAGGGGGGGGGGGGGGCTACTTAGCTCCACCTGACACGGCAGGCGGGCTCGACAGGACACATGGACCTGGGTCCCCTCCAGGAGCGACAACTCTGGGTGACGGCGCACGGACGGCGCACGGGCTGGCGGAGAGCCGGGGCACAATGCCAGGTCACTCGCCACTCCATCCAAAGCTGCGCGACAGCAGTGCATACCTGCTGCGGTCTCCATCTGCCATCTCCTTAGACCAGCTACGGCCGACAGCAGTGCATACCTGCTGCGTTCTCCTCATGCTGAGTCTCATCTGTCATCTCCTCAGACCAGCTACGGCCAACATGGCACGCAATGCAACGTCCTCACCAGCCTCCCATTTCTGATCAATCCACTGCAGTCGTGACGTCATCGAGCTCACGGATGACGTCATCGAGCTCATGGATGCTATGTTTCCTTTCGCTGACCCATTCGGTCTCGGCGTAAAAGCTCGTGGGACACGAGTCTGCTCGCCAGCTCCCGGCGAGCCGAATGCATTCGCCAGTCGCAGTCAGCTGACTGAGCATAGACCGTCTCCTCAATAACCGTCTCCCCAGAAATCTTCTCCTCAGTAACCGCCTCCTAAGAAACCGTCAGAGGGAATTAACCGTCTCCTCAGTAACCGTCTCTCTAGACATCGTCTCCTCAGTAGCCGTCTCCAAGAAACCGTCAGTGGAAATTTACTGTCTCCTCAGAAACCGTTTCCCTGGCAGCAGTCGCCTCAGTAACAGTCAGTGGGCATTACTCGTCTGCTCAGTAACTGTCTCCTCCCAGCCGTGACCGAGGTAACGGCTGTTGTCCACCCCCGGCATTGTGTTTGATTCTCCAATGTGCCACCCTCGCGCCGTTCCATTCAAAACAATCGAGAACGCCAGCACCAGGCCTCGGCTGGACCGCTGGAACACAGTCGCGTGGGCAGGCAGGGCCAATCCAAAGCGGTAAAAACGACACGTACAAACCAGCAGCACCGCCCAGACCAGCCCGCCCGGTTTATGCCGACAACCCAAGCAGCACTGCCCAGCTGACATGGGCTCCATTCATTCCCGCCCCCCCCCCCCCCTTCCCATTAACCTGTCTGGCGGACCGCACACCACCCTCGGCGCTCTAACCAGCGCCCGCAGACGCTGTGATTCACGCATCCCCAGCGTAACCTTGTGGACACGTCCATGGCCTTGCAATGCAGGCAGCATGCACATGCACGGTACTGTGCCCGGACACGGGGTGTACCCGGGCACAAGAGCGTGCCCAGACCCCAGGGTACAGACGTCAGAGCGTGCGTCGGGCCGTCAAATACGGACTGCGGCAGTTTTGGACCAGCCGTGCTCCCAGGGGCAACACGCTCATTGTCACGTAAAGCAGCCCGAGGAGTCGGAGGTGATCTGCGGTTTGTGGCGTGTTCCATGCCCAGGCTATCTGCAGACCAGATGTACAGATATCAAAACATCAAACAGACATCTACAGATCTACAGATATCAAAGGCAACGTACTTGACATGGCCAACAGTGCCTACACGAATGCAAGAATGCATTACAACGCCGTGCTACAGTTCTGTCCACATCTCCGAGGTCGCGCACCAATGTACCATCAGCGGCAGCCTATGCCAGCTGAATTCAGGACCTGAGATGATCACGCAGCCCGTGCGAGGAGCCGTAACCAATCCAGGCACCACCCGCTCCTAATCCATGCTACCTGGTGGACACACGCCGCCCATTGGCCAGAACACAGCGCGCCATCGACTTGGTGCACAACCACAGTCAGGAACAGGACGGATCTGGCCACGGCCCGCCCCGCCGCCGGTGTCGGTCTGCCCTCCACGAGCACGCGCACCACCACGACACAGGCATGGCACCAGCACGTGGCACCAGCACGTGGCACCAGCACCTGGCACCACTGCTCACTGGCAGACCACGCGAACGAGCCAGGAGGGCCGCGACACAGCCAGTTCACTTCACATCACGCGGAAGCAATGCATCTGCTGGGAGCGGCCTCCAGACGGTCGGCGTCGGACAGAGGACGGTCACCACCCCTCGCCGATCGCCGCTGCCTGCAGTGCGCGGCTCGACACTCACCCAGCACGGCCGGTCAGGCGCGAGACGCCACCGCGCGACGGCACGCCGTGCGGCGCCAGTGTGCTGCTCAGTGCCGACCGTGTCCACCGCGTCCCAGC